AGTGCTGCACGTTGCTGCTCACCGTGACTATGAGCTGCACTCTCTCGACTTCAGCACTGCTTTCTTGCAGGGCAGCTTGCACGAGGAGATCTGGCTGCGTCGCCCACCTGGCTTCTATGGGTCTTTCCCTCCTGGTACCCAGTGGAGTCTCCGGCGTCCAGTTTACGGTCTCTGCCAGGCGCCACGTGAGTGGCACGACACACTGAGGACTACGCTTGCGGCACTTGGGTTTGCTCCTTCTACTGCCGACCCGTCGCTGTTTTTGCGCACCGACACCTCTCTGCCGCCGTTCTACATCCTCGTGTACGTCGACGACTTGGTCTTTGCCACAGCTGACACTGCTGGACTCGCCTACGTGAAGTCCGAGCTGTAGAAGAGACACACGTGCACTGACCTGGGTGAACTGCGCAGCTACCTTGGCTTGCAGATCACCCGGGACGGAGCACGCCGTACCATTACCCTGACTCAGTCACACATGGTGCAGCAGGTCCTTCAGCGCTTCGGCTTCACGTACTCCTCACCTCAGGCCACTCCTCTGCCTACTCGCCACTCGCTCTCAGCTCTGCCTTCGAATGAATTCGTAGAGTCGAGTGGCCCGTATGCAGAGCTTGTTGGCTGCCTCATGTACCTGATGACCTGCACACGACCTGACCTTGCATACCCTCTCAGCATTCTCGCACGCTATGTTGCTCCTGGGAGACACCGACTAGAGCACATGGCTGCAGCGAAGAGGGTGTTGCGCTACTTGTGCAGTACGTCGGGCATGGGGCTAGTGCTTGGAGGGCGGAGTCCAGTGGTCCTCACTGGGCACGCGGACGCTTCTTGGGCTGACGACCAGGCTACGCAGCGGTCGTCACAGGGTTACACCTTTGGCCTTGGTTCCGGCTCTGTTTCATGGCGGGCTACTCGCTCGTCTTCTGTTCTCGACTCCAGTTGTGAGGCTGAGATCTACGCCGGGGCTATGGCTGCTCAGGAGCTTCGCTGGCTCACCTACCTGCTGACCGACCTTGGAGAGCCGCCTCGTTCTCCTCCAGTCCTGTACGTAGACAACAAGGCCATGCTGGCCTTGTGTCGAGAGCAGCGACTGGAGCACAGAACAAAGCACATTGCTCTCCGCTACTTTCTTGCTCGTGAGCTACAGCAGCGTGGACAGTTGCGACTTGCGTACGTGGCCTCTGAGGCCAACACTGCTGATGTCTTCACCAAGGCACTTGCGCCTTGTGATCATCAGCGTTGCTGCACGCAGCTAGGTCTTGTGCCTGTCTTGCCTCACTTGCTCACTTCTTGACCTTGCTTGTACCTTGACCTATATATACTCTTGCTCTTGCTTGCTTGACTCTTTTATATCTCTATATATGATCTTGCATGTGAACTGGCCTTGTGGCCCTTGAACTTGTGCTCGGAATGTGTGGTGACTTTGTGATCCACCCTGAGCTTTGCTTTGCTTTGCTTGACTGGTCTTGTGACCCCTTGTTCTCCCCCACTTTGCCTATGGGGGTGTGTCAGAACATCATAGCTTACTTATTTGTGTAGGCTATAGTGGGGTATCCCATAGGAGGTACAACCCAATTAGGGTTTCATATTTGTACTCACTTCATTCATAGTTCATTCATTCTCGTTCACTTCTTCTCATACACTGCATCACACTCGTATACTGTGAATGTCGATAAATATTCTCCTAATTCATATATGTGCTATTTAGAGGTTCGAAATGATGAATTGAGTCAGTCTAAAATTGCTCCCACGGCCCTTCACCTTTGACGAAAGCACTGTCTGCAAAAATCCATTCTAGTGTCGTTGTTCACATCAGTGTAGATGCGAGTTGTACCCGTGTCATAGCCTGTTCTTGGGTCGTGCATCCAATAGCTGCGAAGTAGATCTCGAGTGTAGCGATGAATCGATGGACGTCGCTGCTTCTGGTAGCCTCGGTTTCAGGGGCCCAAAAACGTTATAGTCATGGCCACTGTTGCCTATGGTAGCCTCGGTTTCGTGGGTGTCGCTATCGTCGCAGGTACACTCGCTATGGCTGCAAACAATTCACAAACAGTGTTGCCAATCGGTAGGGCTCGTTGCGAGTCTGCTCCTCCTTGGCGCGCAAGTGCACGAATGTTTGCACGAAATAGTCGCCAGCCTCCTCCATTCACGTCGGCATGCCTATTCGGGAATCATGCAAGGGGAATTTAAAACCGAAGCGCGGTGCTGTCACCCCTGCCGGTTTTTGGGAGTGTGAACCAACGAAATAAAATTGGGAAGTGTAAATAAGCTATGAGTACCAAGTGTGAGAGGACCGAGACTTCACTTCGAATGTAATTTTTGAATCCTGGGTACAACCACGATACTTTATATTGGCACAATACAAAAAAGGTATCCATAATGTTTCTAGAATGTACCGATGCTCTATAATTAGCGAAAATAGAGCCTTCCAGGTTCAATAAAGTCACGCGCGCGCAATGTCACATAACAAATTCAGTGCATAATACCAAAATATGAAATATTAAAGTAGACAAACAGGGAAACTAGTGTGAAAAAATAGAAATAAAAAATTCGATTAGGAGAAAAGAGGACATAACAGGCAATGTACTGCCACACCCGCCCTCTGCTGGTCTGTCTATCTTTGTTTGCTTTGGCTCGATTCCATTTCACATCCTCTTCTACGTCTTTGACGTGGTATTTGTTACTCCAGACAGGGTCGCACTGGCCTCCGTAAAGGACGAGTCGTTGAGAAGACACGCTTCCACTGACCTAGGTGAGTTGTGCCGCTATCTTGGCATACATATCACCAGGGTCAAAGCAGTGCGCACCATCGCTTTGACTCAACCACACATGGTGCAGCAAATCCTCAGTGCTTCGGCTTCTGATTCTCTTGTTCTCCTGTTGCCATACGCTCTCAGCCCCTATTCTTGATAAGTAATTTGAACCCAGTGGTCAATATGCAAAGCTGGAGGGATGCCTAATGTACCTGATGACTTGCACTCTCCCATATCTCGCACATTCTCTTGCCATCCTTGCTCGTTTTGTTGCGACTGGGAGACACCGACCTGAACACTGGCCGGTTTCTAAGAAGGTATTGCACTATCTGGCTAGCACATCACGCATGGGGCTTGTGCTTGGTGGGCGACAGCGAGTTGCACTCACGAGACAAACTAACGCTTCATAAGCACACAACATCGAGAGACTCCGGTCCTCTTACGGCTACTATTCAATCATGGCGCTGAAATCTGTCTTGTGGAGGCCCATTCGCTCGTCGTCGGTGGCACTGTCTTGCTGTGAGGCATAGATCTATGCTGTTGGTGCTATGGTTTCTTAGGAGTTCCACTGGTTGATGTTCTTCCTTATTGGCTTGTGTGAGCTGCCTAGCTCTACCCCGGATCTGTTCACTGATAAGAAGGCCATGATCCCTTTGTTTCAAGGAGCCTAGACTAGAGGGCAGAGCGAATCATATCCAACTCTAGTATTTCTTGCTGCGTGAGCTGCAGTAGTGCAGCCAGGCATGCATAGTTTACTTGTCCTCATAGTCCAACACAACACTGATGATATCTTCACGAAGGCGCTCCCACCTTGTGATTATCAGCAGCTCTGCACACAGCTTGATCTTGCATATCGTATGCCCGCCCTCAAGGTACTAATGGTACCATTTCGGTGCCTGATAACAATACATGAAATTGTAGTGTGCTACCACACGAGCTGGTCGTAATGTGTGTGCAGGTGACGTGTGAGGCGCTGGTGCGAGGCGTGTGAATCACGCAGCCAGGGCTTGACTACGTGTGCTGGTGCTACTACGCTGGCTGCCCTTATTGTGTGCGCAGGTGGTGTGTGAGGCACTTTAAGCCGTCCTCTGGGGTGTATGCATTGCGCAGGCAGGGCTGAACTGCATATTCTCTTGCAACTGCTAGGGAGGGCTTGCCCGTGTGTGTTGCTGCTGCCGCGCTGGCTGGCCGTAGTGTGTGCACAGGTGGCGTATGAGGTTCACCTTCTACCCAAACGCCCTCTCACACTCCGTAAAGCTGCACGGGAGGAAGCGGGGGAAGGGTGAGGACAGAGGGCATTGAGGAGGGAAGCAATGTGGGAATGGGAGTGTGTGCGTAGGTGATGGGTGAGGTCCACCTTGTACCCAAACGCCCTCCCACACTTTGCAAGGGACGGAGGGCGGATAGTGGGGGCTGAGCAAATAGGGCAGGTCCATATCGTATGGCCTCGGATAAGCGCCGTCCTATTAAAAGCGTCGGCGCTTATACCTGGAGCATGGCGCTTAGGGCCGGGTACTCGATTATAAGCGCACCCCCTAGAAATCCATTATTTGTTATAAGCGTATGCATAATTTTATTTTATTTTATTCCGATTTTAAAGCTAGTAGCACACATTCCTTTTGGGTTCGGTTGACTCTCGAAGAATACAAGCTGCGCGTCCAGCCAGAACAGAATGTATTGGCATAGGGCGGGCATGTCATTGCCCCTGTGTGTTGGCAGAGAATCGCTTGCGCGCGATTCTCATTCCTGACGCTATAAAACATCGACTCGATTGATTGGAAGGAATGAGATGCTCACTTTGATGCTATAAACATATAACTCGGTATTTGTCATTACGTAAGCGCATGTGCTTATGCCCAAGACTCAATTACATGTCAGCCCCTAAAAAAATCGATTTTATTGTACAGTAAGCTCATATGCGCTACTATCCGGGGCCATATGGTACCTGTTGTACACACTCGACACATCCTTACCACCACATATCAATGAATCGGGGGTGCTATAAACATGACTGGGAAACCCCAGCATCTAATGTATGATTGACAGATGGTCATATGCACCTAGCCTTGCAACTATCACACTTCCAACTGCATCATATTAGCAGCTAGACAAACTTGGATCCCTCCTCAGAAGACACATGGCACATAAATTAAACCCCCTAAAAGAGGAAAACTCAACTACATGTTTAAAGGAGCATCTATTCTTGGGGATCGGCAGCTAGCATGTGGTGAATTGACGTTTGTGCAAAGTCCATCAGCTTGGCCCCTTCTCCAGCCAGCTACCCATGCCATTCATAAAAGATCCAAGACTCATGGTGGAAGTCTGTGAGATTGTGCCAGTCCCTGCAGAAGAGTCGGAGGGAATCTCATCTACTGCTTTACCCGTTACTTCCTCTACTTCTGACTGCTTGTCCGAGCAGTACTTATCAATGAGCGCTGTGAGGCGGTATGCAATGTCCTTCATGTCAGGCCTGCGAGCACCTGGCGATTTGATGCAGTCGAGAGCGAGGTCTACAATGGCAAGAACGGCCTCTTCAGTTGCGTCTAGCTTGCTATCCTTCATGCCAATCACCTGATAGTCCTCCACCATCTTGGTTGCCTGGAATGAGTCAACGCAGCAGAAAGGGGGAATGAGAACAAGGTAACGCTAGTACAAGAAGGAATCAGACCACACAATTTGCACAATATTGCCGATGTGATTTGCACTATATTGCCGATGTGATTTGCACTATATTGCCGATGTGATTTGCACTATATTGCCTGAGTGTTCTGCACAATATTGCCCATCTGTTTTACGTACCCATGTTCGTATGTGTGTCTCTTCAACCCGAGGGGGCCTGCCAGTCACCAGTGCCAGAAGCACAATGCCAAAGCTGCAAGCAAGAGAGTAGTTGTGGGTAAGTTCAAGCAGCAAAACAGCCTTGATGCATACGGCTGATGCGAAAGATAACAATCAGATTGAAATCGTGCGAATGACAACAGGGCACGTTTTACCCCAGAACCAACCCTACCTGAAGACATCGCTCTTGGTGGTAACCACCGCGTGTGCGGTTGTACTCAGGGTCCACATAGCCGGGAGTGCCGGCCACCCTGGTCTGATTATCCTCCCCGTGAGTGATCCGCTTGAGCAGCCCAAAGTCAGCCACCTTGGCTTGCATGTCGGCCGTCACGAGGATGTTGGCGGGCTTGATGTCGCGGTGAATGATGGGCGTCGCAAACCCATGCAGGTATGCCAGCCCCTCCGCGGCTCCTTGCGCGATTCGCAGTCGGTCCCCCAGCGAAAGAGGGTCTGGAAGAGATGATAATCACAGAAATGGGTGCACATAGGGTGTTGCGGATGATGGGCACTTTGAACCCATGCAAGTACGCGAGGTTTTCCGCTGCTCCTTTCACCAGGCACTGTCACTGGGGGAGTGTGACAGGGTCTGGAAGGGAGGAGCATGAGATGAACAAGGAGACACTAAGCTGTCACCACAGAGTCTTTGCTCACAGAGCAAAACTCTTTGACAGCTGGGTGGACAGTGGGCACACCACTACGGAAGTTGCTCAGCTGCCTTGTGACGCACATACTGCGACTCACTCTCGCTCCTGTAAATGTGGTGCTGCAAGTCTCCGTTAGCCACAAACTCGTACACCAGGATCTGCTCCTGATTGCCCGTCTCCACGTTCAGATCCTGGCAGAAGCCCAGCAGCCGCACCAGATTCACATGGTGGAGAGACGCCATGGCCCGCACCTGCAGGTGACGCATTCAGAACAAAGCTGCCAAGTGCTTTCCGTTTCCAGACAACACATCTGCGTGTTATCCTCAGTGACACGCTACGGCTAGAAATCAGCTTTCGCTTAACCTAGACGACGGAATCAGCAGCTGGTAAGGGCACGGGCAAGAACGGAACACAGAAAGCGAGAGAGCAGAATTGGGCTGCTTTGCTGACATGTAACGGCAGTGAGACGTGGTGAAGGGCCCCCTTACCTCCATTTCAAAGTCGTTGGTCATCACAGTGGAGCGCTTGATGGCCCATGTCTGCCCCTGTGGCGAGCACCCCTTGTACACGATGCCAAATGCTCCCTTGCCCAGCACGTTGCCCTTGGCCCAGTTGTCTGTGGCCTTCACCATCTGCTGCAGCGTGTACTGCTCACACACGTCCAGCCCTCCCACTTCCCTGCATGTACTCAAAAGAGTGAAAAGAAAGGCGATTGGTGAAAGTCCGAGCTGCAGCTGCAGGAATCGAAGGTGAGTGGTGAGGTAATAGTCTGCACATATAGGCACAGCCTAGGAATAGACGTTAAGGCGGGGGTCTCACTTGGTCCACGGGGCCACAGCAGGCATGAGAGCACAGCAGCCAGCAGAACGAAGCCAGCAAAGCAGCCCACAGCAATGCCCACCATGGCGCCCGTGGAGAGCGAGGACACTGCCGAGGGGTGGTTGAGCAACGAGGGGGAAGGAGAGAGCGGAGGAGGTGAGAGCAAGGGTTACAGTAAGTAGTCTGGCTGCAAGCAGTTAGCAATGGCACATGTGGAGATGTAAAGCCATGGTTGCAGTATAAATAGAAAAGCCTCTGATTGGAGTAGCTACTAGCTATAGATCCGTGTTGGAGTGGGGTGTAGTGAGGAGTTGTGCTCTTACCACTAGAGCCGGCTTTCACAACAGCGCAGGTGGAGCCATTGCCCGAGTCGAGGGCAAGAGTAGCCGGACGGCAGAGGCAGGTGAAGTTGGAGGGGGAGGTGGGGCAGGCGGCACACACTCCCCATGGCCGTCACACGGGCCGTTGTCCGTGATGCTGCAAGAACGCCTGGCAGGCTGCCGTGCTGCGCTGGGTGGCGTTGGCTGCGCACTCCGCGTCCGGGCTGAGCGCCAGGCAGTTGCCCGCCACACTCACCCTCGCAGCCTTGCCTTCCCCCGCCACCGAGTAATCTCGAGTGCCGGATATGCCATCGACACACTTCCCTGCTCCCCTGCCACTGCTGAGGTCCGAAAGGACGAGGTTGTTGGGCTGGGTGATCTCGGCGGGGCAGACCTGGCAGCCGGCAGCGAGGAGCACGGCATCTCCAAAGAAGAAGTTGTGAGCCAAGTTGATGAGCGCTTCCCCGTCAGCCACCATGCTCTTGAAATTGCGGTTGATGCGCCCGTACAGGCTGTTGCCGCTCACATCGCTAAGCGGAGTATGGAAAGGAGGAGGCCAGGGAACAGGAAGACAGGGAAGAGGGGAAGGTCAACGGGTGCGCCTGTACAGGCTGTTGCTGCTCACATCGCTAAGCGGAGTATGGAAAGGAGGAGGCCAGGGGAACAGGAAGACAGGGAAGAGGGGAAGGTCAACGGGTGCGCCTGTACAGGCTGTTGCTGCTCACATCGCTAAGGGGAGCACGAGGGTTGAGGAGAGGAGCAGTCAAAAGGGTGGTGGCTTGCCTTTCGATCCGTGAGTTCAAGTGCGTAATTGTGATTGCGATTCAATCAAGTGTTGTTGTTCGATTGTTCTGGATGTGCCTCTCGTGTCAAGCCCCTTGCTATTGCAGGTGTTTGCATAACACGGTGCAGTGCAGGTGTGGTTGAGTACTTGCTGACGTGGAAGAGCAGAAGGCAGTGACAAGAGGAGGGTTAGAGTAGCGTACAGCTGATTGACACACTTGTCGAAGCATGCACTCTGGCAAGGGCCATAGAGGTAGTTGTTGCCATCATGCTGCCAGCACACAGC